ATTCAATTACATTGAAATGCAAATGCAGATAAGTACTTGGATGGCACTGCTTGAAAGGCAGCTGGTTTCCAGGAGACGCGGTCCAGAGCGCGGTCCGGGTCATGCCTTTGGTAACGGCATATTAAGCCACTTGATCCGGCAACGCTGATTACTCGACTTTTGTTATATTTCGCATCTGAGTTTTGGCAAAACAAATATTCAACGCATTCTTTAGAACACGTTTGCTAGTATGTTAGAAAAATAATTAAAGTCGATTGCCCAAGTTGCGAGTGTGCTTTGAGTGCACTCGAACGGCAACATTTCTGCATGTTGCGAATATAAGTGGAAATATGTAAAATAAATGAATGTAGGGTACAGCTTTGTGCGAAATTAGTTGCTTCTGCCAAGTGCAGCTATGCAGAAAATCTTAAATGTATGCTCAAGATATTTGTTATTCCTTTTTATTAAAACAACAATAAAAGCTAACAGATTTTAACAAATATGATTCCTTGAGAGTGCTCATGCAATTACTATGCATATGTACCCAGATTAACTTGAAGCAGTTGGCTTTCATCAGCGCAGTTCCTACTAAAAAAGAAGTGATTCTTACTAAGAATCCGTATATTAATTGCAGATTGAATTTCTCAATATAAAACAATGTTTTTCCTGAATGACTGTCTGACTGACTGACTGACTGATTGGAGATCAGCGCACAGCCCATACCGTAAGAGCTGGGAAGCAGAAACTAGAGAAATAAATTTGAATCAAATCGGACAAAACTTTAAAGATCAACAATAAAAATCTTTGAATCGCAATTTCCACCGAGGAAGCTTGGATTATGCAAAAAGTGCTAAACACGTCTCAAATGATTTTTTATATAGATGCTTGGAAATGAATTTTAGCGCGAAACATCACCCACCAAATTTTTTACCTCCATTTCCACCAAGGAAAAATGGACAAAGATCTTTGAAAATAATGAAATATATAGATCAGACCAGCTTCAAGAGCCGAGGTGATATAGTCATGTCAATCCGTCCGTGTGTCTGTTTCTATGTGAACTGGTCTCACAATTATTAAATTATCAAGGTATTACGACCCAGCTCGGCATTCATTAGATGCACAGAATCATTTAAGCATTGGATATTTCAAGATCGGTCATAAAGTAGGTATAGCAAGATATGGCTAATATTCTGATTTCCAACATATTATTTCTTAAATTCTGCTTTTTCTATCTCACATATCTGCAAATCAGTAATGGCAGCGTGGACATTAAAGTTTCGGCATGCCATCATTATATTCTCATTTACTAATTACAATGCCATTATTAATTATTATTCCTGAGATCGCCACGATTGCTTATGTCTATTATTCCATTGGTGTTTAATACAGCAGGATTGAAAAATGAATTAATTATGTATTGCATTAATTAAAAGAAGCTTGAACAACATATGGCTACAACATACAATGAGCATTAATACATTCTGAGCGAACAATTTTACAATAGGATTAATTTTAAGAACCTTATTTAAAAAGTGTTAATTCCATGTTGAGGAACAACTGCGACTGTATGTATACAAATTTAATTAATGTATTCATATGTAGCCAACGGCAAGGACTTGCAAAGATGGGGGCCAACACGTTCGCAGCTCTTAAATGAGGGATTCACTTATTTTCATTATGGGCCATTTGTTATAATAAATTCAATATTTTCGCTTTCGTGATAACTGCATGGAAAAGCAGCTTTTCACCTCATTAAAATATGGCTGCCACGTGCTGTATGCTACGTGGTGCGCGGCGCGTTAATCTGTGGCAAGTTGCTGTTAAATGCCGACGGCGGGCAGCTTTAAAGTGCCATAAAAACGGATGCCATAATAAATATTAATGGCGATGGCCGGGTAGGCAAACTAACTGCAGCATTCGCATTCCGGCATAGCCTAAATGTGCGCTTCCGCTTCCGGTCCCTTAGGCTGCCGGCAGGTCCCAAAACCGAGCACTGGCAATTCTCTGTGGGGGCAGGTTCTTCGTTTTGTTTACATTCACCTTAAAATATTTATTTATTTGCGTAGCATACAAAACGCGCGCCAAGGGCATCATTTGCATTGAAACACTTTCATTGTTGTTAATCTTTTGCGCTCACATATAGAATTTAATTAAGGTGATGTGCTGCCATTTCTCAATTCCTGATGGGGCACATCAGTCAAGCCCAAGAGTGCGCGAAGTGTGACCAAACTTGGCCGAGACACGCCCCGTTGCCCAGCTGAGAGCAGGCAAACGTAAAAGGTTGCACAGTACAATATAACGCCTAAGAGTTTCGCTTTTGCCCTAGTTTAAATTGGTGTCTACTTGATTCTTTGGCTACGAAAGTGATTTTGGCCAACACACACACACACACACACACACACAGTCGCCCACTCATAATCAAAATGAAATCCAACGGCGCTAAGAATAGCCTTTTGTAAGATGATATTCGCCAGTTAAACGAGGAACGACCAAGAGGATTTAATGTTATGATGTTGGCATTAAGTAGCAAAAGCCCAACGGTCAGCAGCAGTCCGAATCCAAATAAAATAAAATAGAATAAAATAAAATAAAAAGATGAAGAGGTCACATCTTTGGAGAGCGCAAGACCTAAAAGCATGTTAATTAAAGCAAAGATGGCTAAACAGGCGAAATGCCAACAAGCAGAAAAGCAAATCGGGCTTGTCATTTCTCTTAAAGTTCCTCTTAAAAAGTAACTTAAATAATCACTTTATATTTTACAAACTGGTATTTAAGCAACAACATGCTCCAGCACTTTCACATAAAGAATTCTGTAAACGCTTAACTAAAGTGGAACGTCAATAATTTTACAAGCTTTTAAGACTTGAAGGAGTTGCTTTTAAATATTTGTATATTGTTTACACATAATAAAATCCATAAAAGTTGTGATAAGCTTGAGAGCAAGTGCACAAGAGATTGAAGTTAACTATTCTGAAGCTTTAAGTAGAAATAAATGGTCTTAAAATTTCAATAGGTCGAATAATTAATATACTTAGAACATAATTAATACAATAGTTATAATATGACAATTTTGTTATTTGCCAAATAAAGTAAGAAGCTAAATTTCATTTTGTGCGTAGCTTATACCAGATACAATTCCTACAAATATGGTAGAAAAGCAGTTTTATAGAATAAGTCAACTGGCTTTGTTGGTTAATACCATTATGTAAAGTATTTAGTAAAGTTAAAAGAAATGTTAAATGAATGCCCCGTAAAGTAGGCAACAGCATTAGGAATACTTCCAGCTGTTAATCCACACGTAGTCATACTAAGTAGGGTAAACTACTTTGAATCCATTTTCACAGCTACTTACACCCACATTAGGGGCTGGCCAGGCCCAAAACTTATTCCACACACGCACACACACATAGAGACAAGCACAAGCTACGTGGCAGTAATGGTGCTCGGCTAGTTTCAAGTGACAAAAACTTCTAAAGCAACTGGGAGAACGAGTTAAAAGTTATTAACAAGAGTTTTACCTTTTACCTGTAATTATGCTAAGCCTGTGCGCAACTAAAGACGACTCTAAGCCATCTCGTAAAGACGCATACGGGTATACGTGCATGTGAAGCGCTTCCTAATGATAAAAAGGGTTAAAAGAGCAGGGAAAAACTTTGGCTACTTTCTTTGAGCTTCAACATTTGTGTGCCCATTGACGCCTTTTTACCAAACGAATGTGAACTGCCCAATAGCCCAAAACTAATCGGCTGTCAATGCAGAGGGTGACCCGCGAATGAACAAGGCGATAGCTAAACATGAAAGAGTGCCGCTATCGCTCTGCTAGATGATACCCAGTAAAATACAGACATTAACAGATATGTTCACTGCCATCAGCGAAATTCAGACAGAAAGCGCACACTTTGTCAAATTGTTTATTAGAAATTATGATACCATGGCATTAATTGAAATCGAAATCTTAAATAGTACATAATCATTATTTTACATACTTTTGCACAGCAGTATTATACTCTCTTTACCAGTTTGACTGATCACAGGGTATACAAGAAGAGCAAATGCTGAATCCTGTGAAAAATTGCATAGTGCAGCGGGACAATCAGCGATGTGGAAATGCTGGTGCTTAAAGTAAGGAGAAAATGGTTGGTAATAAATTTTAGTGACTTGCGCGTGACAACTCATTAGAACTGACAATGGGCCCACAGGGTGAGCGGGGTTAGTGAGAGAGCGCTCGTCAGCCCAGCCACGCGATTTAGAGAAAATGAGCACAAATTTCGCTTCATATTGACAAGGCGCAGCCAAATGGGCATATGAAATGTGGTACGAATATAATATGAAGATGACTATGCAATATGCTGTTCAGTCTGTCTGGCCTACAAGTTTGGTATACGAGGCTCCAGTACAAATTGCTGGCACATCAATCATAAATTCCATCAGAATTTAAATTGTTTGCTGAAAAGACATTTGCATAGGAAATTTTCCAGCCGCAGATAAATTAATTTTTTTTTTATTCGCATTTATCACCCACGCAATGAAAACAACATTTTTACAATTCTCAATTTTTGAAACATCAGCAACACCCACATTACATACATTAAAAGTATGTGAAAAGTGCCTTTTGCCTAGTCATTTCCTCAATTTGGATTGAGCAGAATTTGCCATAAATCAGTTTCTTTTGCATTCCCCTAAAAGTTCCACAAGCAAATGGGTTGCAGCCACGCGAAACGTTTCCAATTGTAAGCTGGAATTAATAGACTTGAATTTATTTTGCTCGCTACTCGCGAATTGTGGCATTTGTGAGAGAAACTCGTCACCTTTTCGGAATCTGTGCCTTGTTCCACGTGCAGTAGGCAAATATCTGATGCAAAATTACAATTTGTTGATTCGGACTCTAATCAAAGCAGATTGCATCTGAACTTCCCTAATATTATTTCCACTAACAATTAAAGTATAGACTAATGAATCATGTTTAATAAATCAATTTGAAATGCTTATATATATATTGAGATTGTACCATGCGAACTCACCGATAATATTAAATCAACAGTTTTTGTAATTGTAATTTAGCGCAGCACATAAATTTCGTTTTTTCTTGGAGCTGGTAATTTATTCAAATTTATGGCACACATTTAATCAGGCACAAACAAATTAATGTATGCATGGCCGTTATTTCAATATATATTAAAATTTCTTCTCATCTCTTTCAGTATTTATTATTTTTTTAGATTTTGAATATTTATGGAATACGTATACCGCATTTTTCACTATATGATCTGCACTTTGTTAAATTAAATCTTGTTAATTTTAATTGTGTTAAGTTCCTTAAAGTTTGTTTTATTTTAATTTTTTATGTTTTTGAAACAAATCTTTCCTTAAATTTCTTATCCTTAATATATTAATTTTAATTGGGTCTTATAGTTTTTTTTTAAGAATTTCGGACTTTACCACTAACTATGTTTTATTTATACACCCATGTGCCAGGACACGCACTACTGTTCGCCGTCGAATCGCGTTCGAGACTGTCGTGCGCCTGTTAGACAAAGTGAACAGCAGCCGCCGAGCCTCTGCTTCTGTTAACTTTTGTTTTGGGATTTTTTAACAGTCTTTTCTTAGCAGCAAAGCATGGAAATGGACTGTTAAGCCGCTGCAAACAAAGCAAGAGCGGTGTACTTTTAGGTGTACTGAGGCTATACACACTGATATAGAGCTAGACTTCTATTTAGATGAAGTTGTGGTATAAAATTAATTTGCTCATGAGTGACGTTTCTTGCGCCTTGTTAGACGCGCAACAGCTTCATTGCTGATTTTTTATGAGCTCGTCAAGATTCAAGGAATCCCCGTGGGATATTGCACATCACGCATACGCATCGTGGCGTCCAGCGTGGCAACGCAAAACCTCTTGTCGGTCTTTGAATAGGCATTTAATGCCAGACATTTGGCATTAACGCTGTTAACGTCAACGGGCCAGCGAAAGATAAACATAAACATAATTGATGAGATCGGAATAAGCATCAAAAGCGTGCGACCCATTCATCATTGCCGACCGGAAACTTTTATAGGCACCAGAAAGGCGTGGGCACAAAAAATATGTGACTTTCACGCCAGCATCATGGCAGTCGGCTCTGTGTAGTTTTCAAATAAATGAAATATGTATATTTTTGCCAAGTATTCTTGAATATTTATTTCCTGGCAACACCATTTTAACCATTTCGAACATGCCATTGAAACTGACACACATGATATACAGCTGAAAACTTTATATAGCATTCAGGCCACACACTTGATTCCCTTCGTCCCCAATTTATATGAAAGTGTCTTGTACTTTTGCAAACAGCCCGAGAAGCTGTAACTTTCATGGACTGTAAGTGTCTGGCTTATTTCTCACTGCAAATAAGTGTAAGTTTTCTCGATTTGCTTTACGCAGTAAGACTCTCGTATATGTTAAGTATAATTTTAGTTACTGCCAATGTAGCAATAGATTCCAATTAATTTTAAATAATTTTCCATAAAAATGAATGGAAGTACTAAAAACTACTTAAAACATCAATTAATATTTTTTCACTTGAAAATCTTTTCACAGACTACGCCGAATGGTCGTTAATTAATTGTCGATTTCTTCACTTTTCATCACCTTCTTCATTATGCGCAGCGTGGAACCACTTCAGACAATTTTCAAGCCATTCAGCGCTCTGATCTACTGATTCACCTTAATAATTATTTTCACTTGACAACTGGAATGGAATAAAAATATATAAAAAAAATAAGAAGAATAAGAATGTTAAATGCTTAACGCGCAATTAAGCAGGCAGCCAGAGCAAAGTGCGTGCCAATAAACATTGAATAAATATTTGCCAAAGGCATGACAGAGACAAACTCGGAGTCTGATAGACTGATAGACAGGCAGACCAATGGACAGACAGCCAGCCAGGCAGTCGGGCTAGCAGCAGCGAGAACGTGCACGGCGTTAAATACTTTTGCACGTCGATGCCAGGAACAAGAAAAACAGCCACAACTTAAGACGGCGACAAGCAGCTGATGATGACTCGAACCGTAGCCAGAGACAGGCGAGCAGCAGTGCAAGCCGACAGCCGACCGTCCATTTGTGATGTGCTTTTTGTTGACAGCATAATTACGTTGACGACAGCGGTCGAGCGGTGGGATGGGAAGACGAACAAACACAGACGTGAACATCAACCTGAGCTCGGACAATGGACATTGGGGCGCAGTCGAGCGCCATTAGGAGATGACCGCCAGAGCATTTCTGAATATTTCTGCGTGTGTGTGTGTGAAGGTTCTAACTGCACGCAGGTGCTTTGCGGTTGCCAATGAATTTGGCATCGCGCACAAAAGCGTGCTATAAATACACTGCAAGTTGACCCATGTTTGGACTATATTTCTTGGAGAACGATGGGGTCAATGCGCACTTTAAGCGCCATTTAATCTTGTCTGGAAAGTAATTCAATTAACGCATCTTTGTTATGTATGCAGTATATAATCTGCTCTAATGTGGTGTTAATACCTTATGTTGTGGCTTTTTATGAACAACAATGACCTCGCACCGGCTAGCTTAATATCTAGTTAATATTAAACAGGTCACTTAAAAAATTTTGTCATTAAAGCGCTGTTAAGATAACAGTTGTTAAATAGCAATTAGTTACGACTGCCCCAAATCTATCCGCAACCTCATTCCACATATAAGTTCGGTCAGGACGCTGTCAGACTCGCAAACTAGTTTATTTAACTATGATGCCTCATGTAATAAACTATTTAAAAGTTCACTATTATAGTATGAAGTCCCGTTTAAAATGTTTTAATTTATTTGTGCTTGGATTGTAAAATTAATGCCGCTCCCGAAACAACATGTTTTTTGCTACTAAATTTTCTTCATTTGTCCATAGTATCAGGCTACGTATGTGTGTTCACGTGTGTGAATAGCTATAGAATATACACGGCTGAATCACGATATGATTTTTCATTGAAGATTGCACTATTTACGAGTCCATTGCTCAATGGAGCGAAACAAAGTCTGTCCTAAGGTGTACACAATATAGCCACTAGCTATAAATGATGGTGGCAAGGCACAGAAGCATAAGGGGAGCGAACAATTATTTATATTTTTCAATTCAAGCATCAGAGAACGATGGACTGAGTTTATACAATTTTCTGTTTCTTAACAGTGCTCGCAAAACTCTAGTGGAAATTTAACACTGTACATGCCATAAGAGTGTTCGGCTTAAAATGTTTTCATCTGTCTACTAGAAGGCTCTTTAAATTCCAATGTTTGTGGTTTTTACTGATTTATTGTTTTTTTGTTTTGTTTTGAATTTGTAAAGCATCACAGAACAACACCCACAATACACATGTACTTCCAGATATAGTATCTGTATGATGAAAAAATGGACTGCAAGTATTTGCCTCATCTCTCAAGGTCCAAAATTCGCCCAATTCTCAAACCACGAAAACCAAAGCAAAAACCACTAACAAAATTTACACTCAGTGGTCAGCAGGTTAGACATACCTCCATATCAAATAACAAAGGGAACCCAAACAAAAAACTAAACAAATAAACTGGCTACTGCTCGTATGTATACTTCTATGGAAGTGTACACACAAACACACACGCACTCACTCCCATACACATACGCAAGGAATTCACACACATGGGAGTATCTGTAAGTGCGAGAGCTGGTACGAACGACACACTAAAACTTTTTTGTGGGCAGCGTGGAAAAAGTTTGTCCGGATCGTCTGGCAATAATCATAATAGCAGACTCATGTAGCTAATGAAGCCGTGGGGTATTTGCCTGAGTGCGATACGCCCCCAAAATTATGATTGCAACGAGCGTGTGCATATTAAAGCACATTCTGCAAGGACACTGCAAAAGTAATTGCACACAGCTAAAAAGTTATTAATTATCTGCATGGCCTGCATGTTTGCCGAGCTTTGAGAAATGCAAATACTACAGCTTGTTCACCCTTTGAGGCAACTTTTGCTCTCGGCCAAATCGCAAGTAATTAGTGAACATAAGTCTATACGTTTCCTGTGTAGATGTGTGTATGTGAATGCTGGGGTAGGTTTCGGGGCGTTGGTGCATTTAGTATGCGGCAGCAAGGTTAACTAGTTTCCAGTCTCTCAAAAGCAATTAGGCTATCACCAATTTAGCACGCTAAAAATTAATTAGCTACTTTAGCGATAACTGACTCTCTTTGAAGACAGTCAGGTGAGTGATATAGTTGCCATCCAATGCATCTAGTAAAATTCATGATAGTTATTACACTGAAAAAATATGTTCGGTCGTCAGTGTACTAGACTTGGTTACAATTCCCAATTACCATTAAACATACAGAATTTCAAGTCAGATTGATTTGGTTGAGTAAGCGAAACGTTTACATATCTTATTATCTGAAAGATTTAACAGTTTCAATTACCAGTTACATTCGCCATTTCGTTTTTTTAAGCGGAACCTGTTCGCTTTTTGCTCAGCTTCATTTTTCTATATGCAAATGCAAAATCTTCGCTCTGCTTGCCAGCTTGATTACTTTCAATATACTGGGGAAGTGCAGATGTATGCAGCTTTTGCAAATTAAACGAAATAAAACGCCGTGGCTGACTGGAACTCAGACGGTCGGTCAGTTGTTTGGCTTAACAATCAGCCATTCGTGGCTTTGTGATGTTTCTTTCCGTGCATGGCTCGTTAAAATCTACGCGACAGAGAGAACGTGTCCGGAATTCCATCAACTGGTTGACTAGTCATATTCAGTCTATATCTCTCTTTCTATCCCGCTGTCTGCCGCCCCCTTCCTCGCTATTCATGTGCGACCCTCTAGAAAATGCACACAATTCTTTTGTTTTAATTTGAATATCAATTTGTGTGGACATTGTAGCCACAGTTATGGCCAAGCAATCAATTTAAATGCAGCAATTTTCTAATGCCAGCAAAATCCGATGTTCACCAACTGGCTAGCGATGAGCATGTGCCGTGATTTTATCGTCACACGAAACACCTGACTTTTGCTTATTTTTTCTAATATTATGTTTATGTATGAATATTTATACGAGAAATGAGCATTTCTTAAATGTATTTCCAAAGTGAAAACTACTGTATTTTAAAGATCTAAAAATATTAAAACAGCAAAAT